AATGGCGCCCCGCCACTGAGAGCTGTTAAACTCATTAAAAAAAAACACAACTATATTTGCCGAAAACTAAAGGTCGTATAATTTTCTCCTCGTCAATAAAAATACCCATCAGAAATCAAACCAAATCACTTGTGGCTCTAAGACTGGAAAGACGGAACATCCCTGACCTATGACCTATATCAAGGACAATCAACATGACCACCATAAGTCTCTTCCGAATTTTCATTTCGCGCTCGTGTTTATCATGTTTATGGATTTCCAGCCAAACTTGAAAGCAATATCGGGTGATGTATGTTGTAAGCAAAGCAAGCAGCTCTAAAACAGAGCAAGACCCCCCTCGGCTTGCGTGTGTTGACGCTCTGTCTCGGGATAATTAAACTGGAGTTAAATAGACGCTGTGTAAAGAAACGCAATAGAAAGCCCGAGGGCAGGGCATTGTCTGGAATTTCGTTGACAAGGAAATCAAAGGTATTGTCAGCTTGAGGCGAAATTTCATCACGCGATCTCATCAACGTACAATGACGCACAAGGAAAATGCAGACCAGACCGTCTGCCCTGCGAGTTCAACGCTCGCGCCGTGGCCTATCTGACGTGAGTACATAGGAACCGTTACCATCGGTAAGTAACAGGTTATTTTTAATATCACCTGAGAAAATCTTACTAAATATTATGATTTTACAACAACGTAGTTTTATGGTCATTTCCTGCGAGGTAATTCCACGCTTCATTGAGTTAATGGATAAAGACGGACAGCTTCACATAAGCTAAGGAATTTTTTATAACATTTCGCACTAATCTTGAACTCCCTGACGGAAAGACACTAACTGCGTCCCTAAATGTCAAGAGGCAATTTAACTGATTTTAAAAATTGTGTTTGTTTTGTTTGTGTTTTTGTTATTATTACCGACATGGATCTTATCGTTACAGCCGCTTTTTATCGTTTAATGTTTGTTTTTTTAAACTTTATTTTGCTTTGTTTAATTTTTATAGATCTAGTTGCCCTTTAGAGCCCAACTTGGCACAGAATAGGGTGCTTCAAAAGTTAAATAGACAGCTTCAAACTTTCTCAACCAATTGGTATTATAATTAAAGGAGAGGGGTCAGCGGTTTGGCCGATACAAGCCTACATTAGATAGATAGATAGATAGACAGATAGATAGATAGATATATAGATAGATAGATAGATAGATAGATAGATAGATAGATAGATAGATAGATAGATAGATAGATAGATAGACAGATAGATAGATTGATAGATTAATAGATTGATATAAGAGTAAAGTTGATCTCAGTATCTGCGTTGCAGTTGCAGGAAGATTCACTCTATAGAGCCCCCCCCCCCCCGCCCTTCCCCCAAATACGCGCGCTCACATACTCATACAAACATAACATACACACACACACACACACACACACACACACACACACACACACACACACACACACACACACACACACACACACACACGTGCGCCACATACACATATATTTTCCACTTTTTTTTTCCAAAGCTGAGGAATCACAGTCAGGAATAAGCCTTTGAGTGTGACCACAAGAAGAACATCTACCACCATGATTTTCCCCTTCAATAGTGCCTCTGTGACGCTGTGTGTCCTTTTATTGGGTAAGCATATAGGCTACATGTGATTTATTGTTGTATGTTTTAGACCCTCATCTTTACATTTTAGATAATATCAAAGGCTTTAACACTGTTGGTCGGGACCCAGTACATTGCCATACACCAGTACGAGTCTGAGATAGAAAAGTTAGAAGTCAAGCAAGATAATATTTAGCTGACAACATTAGGTAGAAGTCAAGATGTAAAGAAACACGAGGAGAAAAGAAGAAAGGAAATTGTGAAAGGTTGTTTGTTTGTTGTTGTTGCTGGGGGGGGGGGGGTTAAAGGTAAAAGTAGTTTTAAAGAAAACTATATGCACATATGTCGTTTAATTATAAAAAAAATCTACAAATCTGAGCAATTTTGCAAATCAAAACCCGTTTTGACCCTCCCCCCCTCCCCCTTATTTCTCCCAGACTTCGCTAAGCCCCATATCTATAGTTACTACAAGAATACTATTGTATTTTGATGTTCAGCTTATTTCTCGAGAGTTACAAGCTTACACTCACCTGGGTTGCAATGAGCTCGGTTGATATTACGCTGGACTATGGAGCGGATGTCCCTGGTTCGAACACCCAACAGGGCGCTAGAAATCTATGTTGTTTTGAGGGATTTAAGGTTCCCCGTGTCATCTTTGAAGGTTAGACTTTTTTAATGACCTTACGGTATTGAAAGGAGCGTTGAATCTCTACATTAAGCACTATGACCGAGACTCGTCTGAATTTTTTTCTCTTTTGTTTTCATCTTCATGGCGCAAAAGACCTCATCACTCTCACAACGGCATGTACGGATGTTGTCACGTCATCAGGACTTGAGTACATACTGTGTGACGTCAGCGTGAATCAGCGTCTGGCGAGGGTGAGTTTGTTCTGGCTTTCTTTGGCTTAGTTTAGTGAGACTTTTACAGTGCTGCCCAACTACATAAGGTCATATGAGCGCGCAAAACAACAGTTTAAAGCACAGCTTAGTTTTGGTCAAAGATCAAATTAAATAATTAAAAATATTACAACAAATGATTCAGTTTACATTTCGTTTAAAATAACAGCATTTACATCTTTGTGTAAAGGCCAATGGCCTTTATAGAATCGACAATTCTGTAGGGATCTACGATGGTGAACAGATCTTTCAATTTTGTGCATTTAAAACATTTCCTTCGGGTCTTTCCAATGTACTGACATTCTGTTTGTATGTGCCCAATGATGGAATGTGTGTCGCTTCCGACACAGAAGGGTTCTCCAATTCGTTGTAGGAGGTAGGCACCTACTTATGGATCATGGGGTATGCCCGATGTGCAATGGAGTAAAAATAACTTTGACTCTTCTGCAGAGGCCTGAAGATTTTCATGGGCCCAGAGTGGGCATGGCGTTTTGGAGTTTATTGTTAAATTGTTGACCCCAGTGTTTCTCCAGTAGACGGAGTGTAGTTTTTTTACCCTTTGTTAAAAGTCTGTCTGTGGGTTGGTGTTCTTCGTTGATCTCAATAGAAGGCACACGGATTCCTTCGCCAGGAGATTGACCTGTTCATTTCCGAAATAATAATGACTAGCTGGACCCCCTTTCGATGAAACGAATGATCGGTGCATTAACATCAACCGAATATCATTGGTCTACTATATTTACACCGTACTGGAATGGAGCAATGAATCTTGAGAGAAAAGTGACACGTGTTTCCAAGTTGCCAACTTTATAATAGATGCATAAAATTGATTCTCTATTCCGCTTTTGTTGTTTTACAAAGCGTGTTGATTGTTCCCAGTGGCAAGAAAAATAATTTGACAAAGGAGTCCATAAAAAGCGACGGTGGGCGTCAAACGAAAGGATCACAGTGGAATTTAGCGCCAAGTAAAAAAAGAAAACATGGGGCTAGATCTATACGGGTTGCACACTTAAAACAGTGCTCAGTATTGCGCGACAATGCGCGATAGTATCGAACATAAGTACGACTTGAAATAAACAAACATCTCGGATTTTCTAAAATTACTGAGACAGAAGCGTCCGCCTACAAAAGCGATCGGCGAAATAAAGAAATTTAGCTTTTTGCAGCAAAACTGTCTCAAAACTGAAAAACCGAAGGGCGTCATGATGTGGAGAATATTTTAAGGAATCTTTTGGCGAAAACTGCATGTCGATCGATGTAGCCATTAAAATGCCTTTTGAATAGCAAAATTCGGCCTCCACAAACAGATAATAGATAACGATAACACTAATCTAATAATATATTATGTCGTTTCGCCTTTATTTGTCCTCAATCATTTTTGGGCTCCTTTTCGTTGTTGTAGCCTACATTGTTTTGTTTTCCCTCTTTTTGTATAGTATAAGTGATATATGCGAAATGTCGTACCGTATTTTGAAATACAAACAACTATTTTTTTAAATAATGTAAAAAAACAACAACAAAAAACGTCTGTGCAATTTTGCAAGTCAAGTCAACCTGAAAATCAACAACAAGGCCAAAAAGTGGGTGCATAGACGATTGATTGATCGATTGATCACTTTCTTCAATTAGGGAAAAATCGAATCCATTATCTCAAAGTTGCTCACATACACTCGAACTCGAACACACACACACACACACACACACACACACACACACACACACACACACACACACACACACACACACACACACACACATATATATATATACACTAGCTGGGCCCCCTTTTGATGATAGGAATGATCAGTGCATTAACATCAACAGAAAGTCATTGGTCTACTATAATGACACTTTACACTCTACTGGAAAAGAGCAAAAAATCTTGAGAGATGCAAAAATGTAAAATGTCTAGGTATATTATGCTCTCAAAACTAAATGTGCCTCGCGAAATATCACTTCCGGTACTTACGCTGTGAAGGACAGCTACGTTTTGTTTCGTTTCTCAGTGGAATGGTCACAAAGAGCAAAGAAGGGTGGGAACGTTTTGTCAAATATTATTTTTCAAAATTCAGGAAATAAATAAATGAAAAATCGGGCTCCGTCATGGAGACCTCTCTATCTTTTTGCAGGTACTTGCCAACTTTCTACCCTGTAGCTATCGTAGTTTTATGGGAAAAGTGACTAATGCATTTCCAAGTTGCCAAATATATAATAGATATATAAATTGATTCTCTATTCCGCTTTCGTGGTTGTACACTCCAGAATTTCAAAGGTATGGAACCAGTGCGCACAGCTAGTGAACGGAAACCTCACTTGTTTACAAAGCCGTTTTAGAAGACGGACTTTCCCAAGAATATGTCTAAACGAAACTAATGAAAAACGGAAAATTAAACTACAGTGACTTCAGACTCCTAAATAAAACTGCTCCCTTTTAATGACTCTGAACCACCATTACTTTTGTCAAATTCGAACGTTAAGTGATTCTGAAGTTTTAGGCAGCCAAAGAGACGAACTTTCACAAATATAATATATAGAGATAGAGGTGTATAGATTGATTCTCTATTCCGCTTTCGTAGTTGTGCACTCCAGAATTTCAAAGGTGTGGAAACAGTGCGCACGGCTAGTGAACGGAAACCTCACTTGTTTACTATGGTATCTTAGAAGACGGATTTTCTCCAGATTAGATCTAAACGAAACTAATGAAAATCTGAAAATTAAAATACAGTGACTTTAGGGTCTTCCATGAAACTGTGCACCCTTAAAATGATCGTGAACCACCTATAATTTTGTCCAATTCGAACGTTAAGTGATTCGGAAGTTTTAGGCGGCCAAAGTGACGAACTTTCACAAATTATATAACAGATCAAAATAGAGATAGAGATATATTATATATGCCTTTTGTTGTTGCTGTTGTTGATTGTTTGTTTTGTTTGTTTAATTTGATTTACCATTTTCTCTTTGAAAGCTACTCGGGCCTTAGAAAGAGGCAACTTTGATAAACTCGGGTGTTCTAACAATTGTGACTTGCGAAAAGAAACCTCCCCCCAACTTTTTACTATCATCAACTGTATCCACACTCCCCCTTTTCCACTTAAACGTGATTAACAAACATACACCTATAGAATTGAACACATCTGACGCATTGACGTGCCTGTTTTATTTCATATTATATTTGTTTCGTTTTGTTTTTCATGGCCAGGCTGTATGTGGTAGCGATGGAGCAAGGCTGGCCATGTTCCCCTCTGTGGAAGAGTTCAAATCTGTGTACTCTGAGCTCAGTGACAAGCAGTGGACCAGCGCTGTTTGGGTAGGGGCGCGCTATTCAAAAGATGAACGGGGTAAGGAAGAAAGTAGTGCGATAAAAGAGTGCTGTATTAAATATCTTCTGTTATTTTTAAAATATATTCATCCCATCGATTCATTCATCTGTTTATCCTTCCATCCATCCATCCATCCTTCCATCCGTCTATACATCCGTCCATTCATCCACCGATCCACAAAAACCCCAAGAAAACCCCCGCCCATTTGTTTTTCCAAAGCGTACGTTTGGGACAATGGACAGTTGGTAGAGGAAAGCGTTATGTCCCAGACTGGTAGTGACTTGACCCCGACAGCTGGACACTGTTTGATGCTGAATAAGGAGTACCGCCTTGAGGCAACGAACTGCAGGACGCTCATTGGTGGGTTCTTTTTACGTTTGCTAGTTTGATTATCTGTTTGTCTGTTTGTTTGTTTGTTTATCGATGGTGATGATAGTTATGGTGGTTGGGGAGAGGAGGGGGGGTTGTTTCAGTGTCTGGAATGGAATAATTTTTAAAAACTTTTTTAAAGACTAGTTTGGATCTTGGAAATGAAAAATAAAAATATGAATAAAAAGTCTCGTTTTACGTGTCTCTCCCCCCCCCCCACCCTCCCCATGTTTTCACAGATGAACCTTTTAAAGGGTTTGTTTCATTTTAAAATAAACACTTGCCTGTTTCAGTGCTGGAGTCTGATGTGTATTCAATAGTCTGCATAGCTTATTTCAGAAGCTAAAAAACAATCAAACTAACAAACAAACAAAATTGTTAAAACTTAGAGTGTTACGAGAATATTTTCTGTTGTTCTCCCACAGGTTTCATATGTCAACATATTGAGCCCACCACTACTGTGATGACAACTACTGAAAGACAGACAGATAGTACTGTCACTGTTGCTGCTGCTGCCACAGGTTATGGCGATGGCGATCCGAGTGGTGGTGCTGCCCCTGGTGGTAATGTTGTTGATGTTGGTGGTGATGGTGTTGATAGTAAGCCTTTCGTTGCTTCAACTGCGTTTGCTGATAAAACATTTATCACCATGGCAACACTCACCGTCACAGAGGCTGCTTCGCAGATGGCGGCAGATGACAACTTGTATTCATCCTCAAAAACCGCCAAAGGTGTCCCTTCAGCTGAACTTGCGACAGTAGCTGCTACCCACGTCGACGCAACAGAAGTCCCGAGACAAAACGTCAATAAAATTACTGCTCAAGATACAACTGCAGAAACGAAAAGTAAGCCCTCCTCCCAAAAGTCTTCGCGTTTGCGTTCAAAAATCGTTAAAGAAACCATCGATGAAACCACCCAACAAATGGTCACAGACGCAGTTAATAGTTTCTCCGCAAAAGTCGGTACCAGCCAGAAGAAAGCTGCCAAATGTCAGCCGTCCATCGCAGCAGACGCTGACGTATTGGAATTTAGCGTAGACATTGAGAGTTTTGACGACACAACCGACTTCACGGTTGTCGATCCCGTCCTCTCCATCAGTTCGCCCGAAACGAGTACGAAAGGATTCGAAACCGTTTCTTCTTTTACCATCGAAGAAATCCCCACAGCATTGTCTGCCACAGCACCAATAATAGAGTTTGAGGAGGCTATAGTCGATACGGTGTCATCTTCAGAGACAATTATGATATCTGACACGCCTGACAAAGTTGACCGGGGACAAGATCCTAGCTCAGACATGCCTCCTTCCTCATCCCAGTCTGGCAACCTCGTCGCTTCTACAACGACAGTTATTTCCCCATTCAACATCCCAACAATCACATCTCCTTCTGGCAACTCTCTCTCCTCAACCTATACCCCGCCTACCACGACCACATCCCCTTCAACGTCTCCGATCAATGCCATGACCTCTACCTCTAGTTCAGGTACTGTTTCCACTACACGGCCCACTTTTCCACCCATCTCAGGCAACCAAGTTTCCTCCACGACAACGAGCTCACAATCCTTTTCTTTCTCCCCTCTCACATCCCAACTTGATGTTTCCTCGAACACTGTTGCGTCAACCACAAAACCACAAGCAACTTCTTTTGCCCCTTCTGTAACTGACTCGATTATTTCCAACAACCCCATTTCATCAACTTCCAGCCCACAAACTGACACTTCCTCTTCAACTACATCGGAACCTGATATTTTGGACGACTCAACTTCATTTCTCAGAGGCTCAGATTTTACAACGTCATTCTCTTCTTCACCCCAGTCTAGTTCTTCTGAGAAATCCTTATCCACAACACCAAGCTCTGATCCTACTGCCATCCCCCTTACCCCTTCTCAACCAAATTTTTCTGGGAATTCCAATACTTCTACAACAAATCCAAATCCAACTGACGCATCCCCGAACACAGCTCAACCGGACATTCCCGAAAAACCCAAGCCGTCTTCTCCCACTTCATCCGCCGACATTTCCTCCCCGCCTACGACTCCAAGAGGAACTTCCAAAAACCACACGACCTCCATCCCTGATTCTTCAACCACCAGCATTCCAACGCCTTCTTCTCAGTCTGATACCTCCAGTAATTCCACGACCCTGCGCTCCAGTTCAGGTCCTATTAAAACCTCACTGTCCTCTTCTCAAAATATCACTGAAACTCAGACATCACCCCAGAGCAGCTCCGTCTCACAACACAACATTTCCGGGACTTCCCAAACCTCAAATCCTAGCTCACCCTCCACAAAGACACCAACGCTACCCTCTTCTCGTCCTGAGGCTGAAACGCAGAGCACCCCTTCTCAGACCCTGACCAGTTCGTTAAGGAAGTCAAATTCATCAGACTCAGTGCTACAGCTTAAGAAAAGACTGAGGTCATCAGCAGCCACTGAGCAGTGTCCTTGTCTATGTCTGGACCCAAATACAGACAAGCGGACTGAGACGGACCTCGAAGAAGAAAAGGCGTCCCTGCAAACTGAGCTCATGGTGGACAAAAAGGTAGACCTTGCATAATTAATATTCTTTAAGAACCATCATTACAATTACGATCATCATCATCATCATCATCATCATCATCATCATTATCATCATCATCATTATCATCATCACCACAACCACCTCCCTTGCTATTATTATACACTGTTAAATTGTTAATGATTCTTCTTGGGGTGTCTGTCTGTTGTGCTCTGTGTGTGTGTGTGTGTGTGTGTGTGTGTGTGTGTGTGTGTGTGTGTGTGTGTGTGTGTGTGTGTGCGTGCGCGTGCAAGCTTGTGTGCGTGTGTTTATGTGTCTGTGAATGATTAGAAAGGAAAGAGAGAGAATGAGAGGAAGAATAAAAAATAGGATGTGCCCGTGAGTATGTGTGTGCGCGCGGACGTGTGTACGTGTGTATATAATTAATTTATGTATGTCTGACCGGTTGTGTATATGTACTCTCACAAACGCTTAACATTTATAAACCAACAAATCATCCTCTCCCCACCCCTCCTACTTTCTTCCTTTCCCGAATTCACCCCTCCCCCCACCCTTCCCCCCCTCCCCCCTCAACATCCATCCAAACAGACCCTATCCTCCAGGCGACGTGGCTTGACTAGCGCTGTGGACGAGCGCCCTTCAGCGCAAAGCATGGGCTACGTGGGTGGCGTGGTGCTGCTTGCCGTGGCTTTCACGCTGGTTGTCATGGATGTGATTGAGTACGTGGCCACATCACGTTACTTGTCCTACAATCACGTCACGTGACCATCACGAGACTGCATATTGTTTTCAGTGTGATTTTTTAAAAATTGGTTGTTGGTTGTCTTTTTTTTGGTCGTCAGTTGAAGAACGATTGTGGTTTGTTTTGTGGTTTTTGTTTTTCACTTTGATTTGGGTACTTTTGTTTTTAATTTCAAGGAAGTTCCTTTTTTTTAAACTAGGTTTTTCATTTCTTTCATAGTAGTTATCGGACTTGAGGTTATGTCATACAGGCACAAGAAAAGGGGGCGGTGGGGACCCTTTGGAATGCATAAGAGCAAGAATATGACAGTCCGGGAAAATATCAAGGGAGAGAAAAAGACAGCAGTGAAAAAAACAGAGAGAAGAAGTGAAAAGAAAGTGAAAGAGAGAGAGAGAGAGAGAGAGAGAGAGAGAGAGAGAGAGAGAGAGAGAGAGAGAGAGAGAGAGAGAGAGAGAGAGAGAGAGAGAGAGGGGGGGGCGAGAAGCTTACAGAAAAAAATTAACTTTGAGAATGATTTAAAAGTCAGGAGAGGAAACAAACAATTTTTAAAAAAACTTTCTGTGAGTGTAAGTGAAAGTTTGTTTTCCACTTCCAATAAAGTGCTTATGGTGCCATACTGGTGAGTCCATTTGTGTTTAGTAATTACATTAAAGAGAACGTATTTTGACTGATAAATTGTTCATTTAATTCTTTTCTTTTTTCGCAAAATCTTGTAATGGATTACATGGCCTGTACAGGGCAACTGAAGAGAGAATAAAATATTGGTTGAAGTCCTGTGGAATGTTCAAGAACATTAATTTGTTATTTGTTTGTTATTTTAATTTCATACTTTGCAGTATCATGCTTCTTCTTCTTCTTCTTCTTCTTCTTCTTCTTCTTCTTCTTCTTCTTCTTCTTCTTCTTCTTCTTCTTCTTCTTCTTCTTCTTCTTCTTCTTCTG